GGAGCAGAAGGAGGAAGGGAGGGAAGGATGCTGGCTTATTGGTATAAACGGTCTTCATCATAAGGTTGGTGGCATTTTTCAACCTGTCAGTGTTAAACCGATCAATCCACCATTCGCTCTGGCTTCACGGGTCACTACCAGCTCATGTGGCCACATTAAACCCTAATGCATTCCACTTAGTCGGAGAGCATGGCCTGGCGTCCACCCAGCAGGCACAAGGGCTGCGGCCATTGAGCGTCTCCAGACGACATAGAGGAGTGGGTAGACGTGCCCCCGGTGAGGAAGGATTCGGGGCCACACGTGGATTCCTATCCCCTAAGAAGAAAAGCCTCTACTGGTTAACAGCGAGGGCAAGAAGGGAATAGCGATTCCCGGACAATGAAGGGACTCGGGCCCCGTTTCCTCCAACAGAGACGGAGTGAGGAGGGGGGCCTCACTCCCCTGCAGAGACAGATGCTCACTGCCACCTGCAGAACCCCCTAGCCCCCAGGGAAGGGGTTCAGACTGTGTGGAGGTGGGGAGGAAGCTGAACCCTACTTGGAGAATGAAGATCTCATGGAATTGATGAAAATTCCTCTGGGGTCGGAGTCAGAGTAGAGCGGGTGGGGCACTTGCCTTGCACACAGCGCCAGTCCCTGATGTGCTCGGACACCTGAGAGGTCATCAGGTCAGTCTGGTCCCTGTCTCATTGTGGCTCCAGGGCAGGGGCTGCTCCTGTCAAAGGTTCAACCCCCAGCACCCCACAGGGTGCTCTGAGCACAGCAGGGAGTGATTTCTGAGTTCAGAGCCTAGAAGCCCCCAGGACTGGCAGGAGTAGCCCCCAAACAACTAACTACAAAAGAAAAAAATTCTTCCAAGATACTTATGGTTGAATTGCTAAAGTGACATCGTATCTAGTTTCAAAGCCAGCCAGGAGGAAGGTCTGTGGGTGAGGCCAGCCTGACCATGGAGGGGTGTATGGGGGGGGTGTTACTGCAGTGCCCTAATCTAATCATGTCTGTTCCAAATTCCCCCATAATGAAGAGTTGACAAAATCGAGTCTGCGACCAGGCACATGAGCTTTGCCTTCTGCACTCACAGAGCAGGAGTTTCTCAACAGCTTCCGGTCCCACCTCCACTAAGGGGGTGGAGGGTGGGCTCAGGTCTTCCCCGGTCTCCTGGTCTCTGAGAAATAGGCAAATGACATCTCTGACCCACAGTGAAGAGTATAACCAGGCATCCACCCATGTTTGAAGGGCTTGACCTTTGTCATGGATTTATGGGCCACATCCCGCAATGCTCAGAGTTACTCCTGGCTCTGTGCTCAGGGGACCAGGTACTCCACCCTTTGAACTATCTCTTTGACCCCCAAAGCCATGAGAAACCATTATTGATAGTATTCTAAACCACAATTATTTTTTTAAAAAAAGGAAACACACATGGGGTAAAATCCCAAATGATAATGGTGGGCCTGGTGTCGAAATATTGAATATAATCAAAGTAGAGAGAGAGAGTAGTGTGGAAATCATCTGCTACACAGGTAGGTGGAGGATGTGGGATGGGGGGTATACTGGGGTTTTTGGTGGTGGAGAATGGGGACTGGTGAAGGGACGGGTGTTTCACCATTGTATGACCGAGACTTAAACCCGAAAGATTTGTAACTGCTCTCGCGGTGATTCAATAAATAAATTTATATATATATATATATATATATATAAAGGAAACACACAAAATAAACAAAACCTAGGCGGCTCCCTCTTTTAAAACAAAACAAAACAAAACAAAAACCTGACTTGGGACCCGAGAGATAACAGAGAGGGGGAAGGCACTTGCCTCTCACACAGCTGACCTGGGTACAACACCAGCGCTGTGTATGGCCCCAGCCCTTCCGGGAGTGATCCCTGAGGAAGCCCTGAGCACTGTTGGGTGCAGCCCTCAAACCAACCAATCAACCAACCAATCAACTAACAAAATGCTTGCCAAAGGGTGGTACCCCCCTACGATTCCACTGAATCCGAGAGCCAGGCAAGGTTTGCCGGTCAGTCCCTGAGAAGCACAGGAGAGAAAGTGGCTGGCAGCCAGACCCCATCCAAACACACACACACACACACACACACACACACACACACACACACACACACACACCAGGTTCCCAGAGAAGTTTCCAAGGCAGCGACAGTCCGGTCTCTGGCATGGAGATTCGCCCCCTCGTGGCCTCTGCGACAGGAATCCACAGGGAAAAGGCTTTTCCAGGGGGCCCCGGGGCCACCCACCCGTGCAGCTGGATACGTACACTTTGTAAGCAGTGGTTTCCAACAGATAAATGTAATCAAGGTTTATATGCTCAGAGAAGCCAACAGGATGGGATTGTTTCACTTGAAAGATCAGAAGAAAATTGTAACTAATGTTGTGGAAAATTACTTTGATATTGCTTTCTGGGTACCGAATCACAATTAGGCTGCTGTGAGAAGTACAGGGGAAGAATAAATGAATAGTAACAAATCAACACAAGCACCCATGTCAGAGGCACTTTACTCCGGGAGAGGAACGTAAGCATTACTTAAAGTCTCGTGACGGCGTTGGATGGGATTTACCTCCACTCTCAAGGTGGCCCCACCTGGCATGTGGCGAGGAATGGGCTGCCAACCCTCCCCTCCTCCCCCTCCCCCAGCCAGAGAACACGGCTCCAGGACAAGCGTGCCCACACTGTCCTCACGTGCCAGCCGCCCTGCCAGTCCCCAGCTCTGCGCTCCTCTGCTGGTTCTCAGACACCCCTCACTCCCTGCCCGTCCTGGGCAGCCTGGTCCCTGATCACCACCAGGACCACACTGGGCAGTGCCAACAGTTCACGTGCCGGGATGTTCTGCCACAGACGGCAGGAGACACAAATCCACCAGTCCAGCCCACCCTGCACTGTCCCTGCAGGTCAGCAAGGCCCTGGCCGAGGCTGGGGGGTCCTTCTGTTGCTGGACACGACATCAGTCCCAACTCATGTCACAGAAGAATACACACAGGGGACATGAAGACCCCTATATGAACCCCAACCACACCCAAGCCATCAGGGGGGACCCAGAAGAGAGCCCCAAGATGCAGAGTCATTTTCCTAGCCCTTCACATACACAGGTGTGCTATGGGGGAGGGATGGGGATGCGGGTCCAGGGGGAATCCAGGTGACTTTCTCTGGGGATGACTCGGTGGGCAGACAGGCCCTGGAACTTTGCTCTGTCCCCAGCTTCTACGTGGCCACCATTCACTCTGAGCCGGGTTCCGGCACCCTCTTTCCGGAGCTCACTTTATGCAGAGAAAACACACGTCATGGGGTACCCATGCTCAGTTTGCCCCACCAGTGCTGCCCTGTGAGATCTGGTGGGGTGCGGTGTCATAGTGTGAGGGGGAAACTGATGCCATGACAAGCTGCAATTAACATTAAGTCCCAACTAGGCCTAAGCTGCTGTTTCCCCAAAGCAGGACTTGCAGTTTCTGGTAAACTCCCAGTTGAATAATTTGCCAAGATAAGGAATTGGGCAGCTGGGTCTGGCCGGTAATGAGGGGTCATTGTATACCCTCCTTAGAAACTGTTACTAACCATTGCCTAATTGCTGACCACCACTGTAATAGGGTCAATGCTAAAAATAGCATTAAATAGCATTGTAATACTGCACTGTCCTCCCATTGTTCATCGAGTTGCTGGAGCGGGCCCAGTAACGTCTCCATCGTGAGACTTGTTGTTACTGTGTTTGACATATTGAATACGTCATGGGTAGCTTGCCAGGCTTTACCGTGCGGGCGCGATACTCTCGGTAACTTGCCGGGCTCTCCGAGAGGGGCAGAGGAATCGAACTCAGATCGGCAGGGTTGGTGGCGTGCAAGGCAAACGCCCTACCCGCTGTGCTATAGCTCCAGCCCAGTATATAAATTGCCTCTTAACTCTGAACCCTATAGAAACTACTTGTGAGTCGGAGTCGGGGTCCTGGTCAAGACTCCACTGTGTTGGATGAGATTTGGACCCTAGCTCGGGCTAGCGCTGGCTCGGGCTAGTAATAAAGTTCCTTTGCTTTTGCATTATCATGCGTGGAACTGGGTCTCTCTGCAATTGGGGATCTGAAACTCGGGCACAGCACCAGAACCCCTGGTGGGGTTCGCAGGAAGCAGCTCAGTCCCCACAGAGAGGCTGGCTCCATCCTGCGTCTGCGTCTCCTGAGCTGGGAGGCAGCTGCCACCGGAGAGGCCTGGCCCAGGTGTGAGTCAGCCGGTGACTCACTGCCTCTCCCGCTGCCTCCCGAGGAGGCCGCCAGGAACCCACTCACTGCGCCCAGCCCCCCCTCAGTGCCAGCCCGGAGGGTCAGGCCTCTGCTAAGGGTGTGGGCAGAAGCTGGGGCTGAGGGGAGCAGGGGGCACCTGCAGCTCTGAGCCTCCTCCCGAGGCCACCCAGCTGGTGGGGTGCAGGCTCTGCTGCCTGCCCACCCCCTGCCCCCAGTGTCTAGGAGCTAATGACACCCCAGCACTGCTGCAGACACTCAGGCTGGCAGGCATTTCCCTCCCCACCCCAAGGCAGAGCGGGGACCAGCACCTACAGCCTGGCTGTGCACCCCGGGCAGGGGTCCCAGTTCCCCCTTGCGGCCTCGCTCACTTGCTGTCCCCAGTCCCTGGTGCCCAGCAGACCTGTGCCATCGGGGTGGGTGGGTCCTCCCAGTGACACAATGAGGGTATGCAGGAAGGGAAGGCATGCCTGGGGCGGGGGGTTAGCAGGGGCCCCCGGGGGCACGTGCCATTCACTCTCGGATGTCCCATCCATGGGGAAGAGGCCTCAGAGGGGGCAGTGTCCTCCTCAGACCGCGTCTCACCAAAGCAGCAATGGCTCAAGGATAGGTAGCGAGGCCACCGCTCCAGTGGGGGGTGGTCCAGACAGAGGTCAGAGGTCAGAAGTGCCACTGAGGCTGGGGTCTCAGAACAGACTTGGTGCCCCAATGCCCCCATCACGCAGGATGAGGGTGGGCTGGTGCCGAGCGAGGGGGGCTCACCTGACAGCTGTTGGGGCGCCAGCTCCGTGGGCTTCTGCAGGCTGAGGAAGAGGAGGAGGCCCGCGGCCCCGAAGAGCAGGATGGAGGAGAACATGCAGGCCAGCCGCATGGCTCTGGCTCGCGGGGGCCGCCGGGGCTGGCTCCGGGGGCACCTCTGCGCCGTGGGAGGCTCCTTCTTCCCTCATCCTCCACGTCGGGCATCCATTGGGCCAGGGTCTACAGGCAGACGGAAGAGAGGTGGTGGGTGCCGAGGCGCAGGGTGGTGGACTGTGGGGTCTCGGGATCTGCACCCCGGCAACCTGCAGAGAGCTGGCACAGCCCCCGACTCTGTGCTGTCCCGGCCTCTCCCTGCACAGGTGCCCACGGCAGGGACCAGCCCCTAGGACCTCGCCCGTCCCCGCCCTTCTCCCCAAGGCTGGCTCTGAGAAGGAGACTCGAGGCTCAGATGATGTCGGGGTGGGGGTCACAAGCCCCCTTCCAGTCAGTGTTCCCCCCTGCAACCCAGATGGTGGGGCTGGTGGGTGGGTGTGGCCTGAGCTCTGGCCAGACCACACACGGCCCAGCTCCTGAGGCAGGGCAGGCCGCTGCTGCCAGCTGCCAGCTCAGGGGCAAGGACAGAGTCCTGCGGCAGACCCAGCACCTGCCACGTGACCACCCTGCCCACCTGCCCCTCTGCCCACCTGACCGCCCTCCCATCTGCCCCTCTGCCCACCTGACAGCCCTGCCCACCTGCCCCTCTGTCACTGACCACCCTGCCCACCTGCCCATCCTACCCACCTGACAGCCCTGTCCACCTGTTCCTCTGCCCACCTGCCCATCCTGCCCACGTATCCATCCTGTCTTGTATTCCCAGACCCCTGACTCTAGCCAGTAACCCCAGCTGGGCCAGGTGGAAGGTCACCTTTGGGCAGCCAAGGCCACTTGCCCAGATGATTCATGTTCCTGTGGTGGGGGTCAAGCAGGACCCCCACTGGAAGTACGCTCAGATCTCCTCTTCAGAGGGCGACTCTATCTCATTACTCTCATCGGAGACTGACTGGGACTTGGTGGTGCAGGGGACGACCCTTCTCTAACCAAGGAGCACCTGGGGAGCTCCTGGCCAGGCACAAGGTGGCACCCCAGCGGGTCTGAGGTTGGTGGGCAGCTCCCAGCAGCCTCCCCAAGCATAGCTGATCAGGATCAGCTGTTCAGACCTTTCCCAGCTTGGAGGAGACATTTAAACCCTACAGGTGGGGGGATGTTTGGGGGGTCAGGGAGGCCACTGTACGTCCACAGCCAGCTGTGGGGCAGGAGGCAGGAGCAGGGTAAAAAAGGAAAAGCTCCCTTCCCTCCCCCCAGACAGAGTCCCCAGGACCAGACTGGGGAATCGCAGCGCTCTGGGCCTACGCAGCGGTGTTAAATTGCAGGTTTGGATTTCTCCTCTCTGCAGTCTCTGTAATTATTTTTTCACTCAGTTAACTTTAATTAACCTGCCCCAGGCCTCCAGGCACGGGGAACGCGCCTGCACGCCAGGCTCTTTGGGCTGTGCGGAGCAGGTGGTTCCCATGAGCCCCCCAGCCTTTGTGTCTGGGGCCATTTCCTGTCCCTGGCACAGGCAGGGCCCACTCCCCAGAAAGGATGGCGGGGCCCCACCCGGTGCCTGAGTGGGAGGAAGGGGTGGCTACACAGACCCAAAGCTCAGAGCCCTAAGTCCTGAGCCCCCCGTGCCTCTGCAGCCATGGACACAGGGCGCAGGGCGCTGTCCAGCAGCCCGTGAGCACCCGCTGCATCCAGGGCCAGGGTGAGCTGGAGGCGGGGGAGACAAAGCTCTCCTCCTCCCTCACACAGCTCCCAGCCCAGACTGGGGTGAAGGCGCTCATGGGTGAACCCAGGCTGGGGTTGACGGCGCTCATGGGGGAACCCAGACTGGGGGTGACGGCACCCACAAGGGGACCCAGAGTGGGGGTGATGGTGCACGTACAGGTGGTCAGACAGCATTCAGAAGGGAGACAGTGAGGGAACCATTCTAGAACAAGTGCACCTGCACACGGACCAGCGTGTGTGAGTGACACAATTACACTCACACAGGCCTCACTAACACACACACAACACACACACTCACGCGCATACATTCACACATGCACACTCACACATACAGGACTGACGCACATTCACACACAGGCTGGCACTGACACACACACTCACACACACAGTCATATAACACATTCACACAGGCTGGCACTGACACACACACACACACTCACATACACACACTCATACAGACCAGCAATGACACACTCACACATGCATACAGGTTGGCACTGACACACACACACACACACACACACACACACAGTCACACAGGTCAGCACTGACACGCACTCACTCTCCCAAGTCAGATGTGGCTCCAGGCAGCCCGTGTGACTCAGGGCGACCCAGACGTCAGGGCCTCTCACAGCAGCACCGGAAGGGAAGAAACGGTGAGTCGATGGCGGGTGCCCACACTCACGGGGTGAGTGTCCCCGAACCCCCCCTGAAACCCTGTGCTCAGAAACGGGTGTCATGCAGGCAGGCACTCACAGTACTGCTCGCTCTACAGTGGCCCTGCACACGTGCTTGCTGCAGAAGGCTGGTCAGCCCCTCCTCTGTCCAGTCTATCCCCTGGGCACCTGTCGGCCAGTCAGCTGTGCCCATCTCTGCCCCAACCCAGACTGGCCTGTCCCCTCATGCACCCTTCACCTGAGCACACCAGGGCTCCCCCGCCCAGAGCTGGGTGCTGGGTTCTCACCCTGCTGGGGGTCGGTGGGGGACATGGCTGCAGGACTTGGACATCATGCCGGTCGCTTCCCCTGAGTGGACCCCCAGAAGAGGAGCACCCTTTCATGCCCAGGAAAGCCACGGCCTGGCACTGGGGATGTCTGCAGGACCCCTGACTACATGCCAGAGCCACCTGTGAGTGGGGCTCCCTCCTTGGAGAATCTGGCTGCTGCCGGCAAGCGGAGGGTGAGGGGTGGTCATCATGCCGCAGCAGGGAGCCCCCTCAGTCTCTCCAGGAACAGAACACCCTCCTTCAGAGGCGGGCGGGGGGGGGGGAGTGCGGTGATCCTCCAGGGGGTGTGCCCGTCAGAGCCCCGAGTGTTCCCCCAGGCTTCTCGTCGCAGTCACACATTATTTTCAAGACAACGGGAGATGCTGGTTCAAGGCTGCTCGGCTGCCTCTCCCTGGGTGCTGCCTGGGGAGGGTGTCACCATCTGGCCAGGGCCAGGCCGAGCTGGGGGGACCCTGGAAACACACACCTGGGACCCTGCTCGTTCGCCGGGCTCCGGGGGCTCTCATGCCCAGTGGTACCCCCTTCCCTCCTCTCCTGCCTGGCTGTGGGGAGGAGAGGGCAGATAAAAAACAAAAAACAAAACACAGCGGATAATGGTGAGGAGGGGTGGGGTGGGATAGGGAGAAGTCAGGCGAGCAGTAAGGCAAGAAAAACGACCCTTCGAGTGTTCCAGAAGGTTCTGTCTGTCTTCATCCTTCCTCTCCCCAGAGACTTCTCCCCACCCTGAATGGCGTCATAGATTCAAATGTAAGAAAAAAAAATCCAATTAATCTTGTAAACACCTCCTGGGACACAGGGCAGGCCAAGGAGTCTCCTATTTCCTTCATTATCTGATTGAAAGATTTGTTCCTTCGGAAAATTCACTTCAAGGCACAAGCAAGGACTTGGGAATTCAGCCAAAGCACACGCACCTCCAGAGACGACAGGCCAACCAGCAAACGGGCAGACGGACGGACAGCCAGCAGGCAGGCAGACAGACGGGCGGCTCCAAAGACACGCTGGGATTCAGCTGCTCCTCAGCCCTGGTTGCTGCCCCAGTCACCCCAAGAACCCGCTTCCTACTGCAGGGACCTGCCCCCACTACGGGGAGTAGGAGACGTCCAGCCCCGAGCCCATAAAGGTCCCACGTGGGGCGTACACCCCGGGCCCAGGAAAGTTCTCCGGCCGGTCGGTCTGCTCTGTGCACGGGCAGGAGCGAACAATGACGTCCCTCCCGGCTGAGGGCTCCAGGAGAAGCTGCTGGCGGAGCGAGGCTGCTATGGCAACTTGAGGAGAATGAAGCCAGACACAGCCTTCACCTTGAATCCGGCTCCGAGCTCCCGCCGGCAGGAGGGAGATGGTGGTGGTGGTGATGGGGGGGATTGTCGCACCCAAGTGCAGCTGGGGCTGACTTGCGGGCCCCCCACCCCAGCCTCCTGGCCTCGGTCACTCCTATGCTCCCCGCACGAACCCCGGCACACGGTGGTCCCCTGAGAGCACCACCTCCATCTGTTTTGTCAGACAGTTCTTTCCGTGAGTGGGGCTCCCGCTCACTTCGGAGATGGGGCTCTTCTTGCTGGATTCCAGCTCATTAAAATCCTGCAGCTAATTAAAACCGCTCTAACGGCGGCAGCGGCGGCGGCAGCAAACTCTGGGACGAGTCCCTCCAGTTTTTATGCGTAGGCATAAAGTTGCAATACTGGAGGATGACGAATGACTGCAAGGGCTCGGCTCACAGGCGGGGCTGCGGGCTGGGCACTGCGCCTGCCCCACAGACAGCGAGGGGGACACTGGCCTGGGTCCTGAAACTGTGGGCCCTTTCTCCGCACACAGGCCCCCCCCCCAGAGGGGCAGTCCCCTCTTGGAGGTGGGGGGGGGAACGGACGCAATTTATCTGCCATCTGCCAAGCTGTGGCAGGTGGGACGGCTCGCCGGGGACCGTGCACAAAGGGAATCCAGGCCCTAGAGGAAGACCACACCCGTTTCTCCTGTCCTGGAGCCCAGGGGAGCCTGGGTTAGCTGTGGTAGGAGTCCGGGATCCTGGTCAAGGCACCACTGGCCCCAAGGCCCTCAGGAGGGACAGACTCATGACACGGCACCATCTCTGTCCAGGATGTCTTTTTTTAATTGAATCACAGTGAGATAGGCCCTTACAAGACTGTTCATGATTAGGTTTCAGTCATACAGTGTTCGAACATCCATCCCTCCACCAGTGTCATTTCCCAGAACCCAGGTTCCCTCCCATCACTCCCTTACACCCCCCTCTGATGCCTCCTCTATGACAATGCTTTTCTTCTTCTCTCTCTCTCTCTCTCTCTCTCTCTCTCTCTCTCTCTCTCTCTCCCCTTTCCCCTCCCTCCCTCCTCTCCCTCCCTTTCTCTCTCTCTCTCTCTTTCTCTCTCTCTCTCTCTCTCTCTCTCTCTCTCTC